GAAATAGATATTAGCAAAGCCAATAACCATTGCTCACCACTCTGTTAAGCTGCATTGTCCCTCCACTTGAGATTTCAAATCTCCAAGGGGTAGATAACAGGTTTTCCTCATATTTTTTTTTATAATAGCATCAAACATACTCATTATGCTCAACAAATATTTAAATAAGCTACTGGACCATGGAACAAGTCTCCAAAAGAAAAGAAGTGAGAGTACCATGACTCAATGCATTTAAAACTACACAAAACCTTGGGAGAAATACCATACGGTGAGTTCTGCCTTGGCCCAGGAGAGCAAAGTTGCACTGAACCAAATATAACTTCCTATTACAGCCTAGAAGATAATGATGGAGAAAGTGCACAGGGAAGCTTTAAAGGAGGGGGACATCTAAAAAATAAATACAAGTCAACGAGGACTGAATTTGCAAGCTATATCTTCCAGGCTACACTACTGCCCAGAGACTTCTAGGGTTTTCCCTTTCCATTGTCTTTAGATGCCAATCCTTTCATAGCCTCTTTCTATAAAAGTTCATGCCTTTCTGAACCAGTAAGTCTCTAAGGTGCTACCCTGTCCTACCTTCTCCGATTCTCTTTACAAAAAAAAGAATTAAAATGATATTTATACCCGAGACAGATAGGGCAGTTAGTTCTCGCATATGTGCTATTGGATAGGCACTGTTCAATCATGTAAGGAAGGCATCTTGAACCCAGAGGGCTGAAGATACTTACAGATGAGTAACAATTTAAGCAACAATTAGGATTTTCTAGGCCTCTGAAAGCTGGAAACTGTAAGAAAAAAAGAGCATGGGACACAACAGTCTAGAAAGGCCCTCCATACATTCCCGTCTTGACCAACCATACCTGACTAACCTTATTGCCTTCAGTGAGAGGACTGGCTCTGTGGATGTGGGGAGATTGGTGGATGTGGTGTACCTTGATTTTAGCAAGGCTTTTAATACAGTCTCCCACAACATTTTCCCAGGCAAGCTAAGGAAGTATGGCCTGGATGAATGGGCTGTAAGGTGGATAGAAAACTGGCTGGAGCCTTGGGCTAAGAGTAGTAATCAATGGCTTGATGTCTAATTGGCAGCTGGTATCAAGTGGAGTGCCCCACAGGCTGTTCCTCGGGCCAGTTTTGTTCAATATCTTCATTAATGACCTGGAAGTTGGCATAGAGTGCGCCCTCAGCAAGTTTGCAGATGACACCAAGCTGTGGGGAGTAATAGATATGTCGGAGGGTAGGGCTAGGATTCAGAGTGACCTAGACAAATTGAAAGACTGGGCTAAAAGGAATCTCATGAGGTTCAACAAGGACCAAGTGCAAAGTCCTGCACTTTGCATTGAACAATCCCATGCACCAGTACAAGCTGGGGGCTGACTGGCTGGGCAGCAGCTCTGCAGAAAAGATCCTGGGGGTTACAGTGGACAATAAGCTGAATGAGCCAGCAGTGTGCCCTTGTTGCCAAGAAGACTAACAGCATACTGAGCTGAATTGGTAGGTCTGTTGCCAGCAGGGCAAGGGAAGGGATCATTCCCTCTATTCAACACTGGTGAGGCAACACCTGGAGTACTTCCAGTTTTGGGCCCCCCACTATAGAAAGGATATGGACAAATTGGAGAGAATCCAGTGGAGGGCAACAAAAATGGTTCAGGGGCTGGGGACATGACTTATGCAGAAAGACTGAGGGAACTGGGCTTATTTATTCTAGAGAAGAGAGGACAGAGGGGATTTAATAGCAGCCTTCAACTACCTGAAGGGTGGTTCCAAAGAAGATGGAGTTAGACTGTTTTCAGTGGTGGCAGATGACAGAACAAGGATCAATTAGGGTATCAAGTTGCAACAAGGGAATTTTAGGTTAGATATTAGGAAGAATTTTCTCACTAGGAGGGTAGTAAAATAGTGGAACAGGTTACCCAGAGAGGTGATAGAAGTTGAAAACCCGGCTGGACAAAGCTTTCGCTGGGATGATCTAGTTGGGGATGGTCCTGCTCTGAGCAGGGGGTTGGACTAGATCAGTGGCCACCAACCAGTCGATCTCGATCTGGTTGATTGTGGTGTCTCTGATGACAATCAATCAATCTGTCTGTCAAAGACTCCACAATTGGGAGTGGCAGGATGTACATGGCGGGGCTGAGCCATGCCCCCTGCCACCTCGGCTGGGTGAGTGGGGTCAGAGCATGGGCAGCTTGTCTGGAGGGCAGGGGGCAGAGTGGGATGGGAGCCAGGGAAAGGGTGGGGCAGGTGGGGCACAGTAGACTCTGGGGTGCCAAAAAGTGATCTTTACCATAAAAAGGTTGGAGACCACTGGTTTAGATGACCTCCAGAGGTCCGTTCGAAACCTAACTTTTAATGAGTCTAAGATTTTATTTTTCTTATTATCTACTTTTTGTCACTGAGGTAACAGATAATAGGCTAGATCGGGGTGGCCAGCCTATGGCTCCAGAGCGACATGCGGTTCTTCAGAAGTTAATATACGTCTCCTTGAATCTTTGCACAAGTACACAGTAGAAGCTGGTCACCATGTGCTTGTGCAAAGATTCAAGGAGATGCATGTTAACTTCTGAAAAGCTGCATTTGGCTCCACAGACACAGGCTGGCCACCCCTGGGCTAAATGGACCTGTGGCCTCACCCAGTATGGCACTTTTAGAGTCCTAGGTTTAAGAACTTCTACCATATATTTGTAGTTTTGCTCTTTCAATCAGGGACTTGACAAATGTAATAAGCAGTAGCATCTGGAATTCAATGATGGCAGACAACTTTCCAACTCATTGAGAAGTTTGGAGAAACAGGCATGTGCTCCCTGATAAGCAGCCCTTGAAATGGCCTAAAAGAAAATAAGAAACAGGTCTTAAGGCATTCTCTTTAAAAGACAGTGCATATCCTCAATTCATTCCAACAGGTAACTAGTATTACAAAGAACAAATCTGAACATAAATTTAACATAGGTCCCTTAATGCAGTCTTGAACCAAGAGCAATGAGAGCTTGTTAAAACTCTCTTAGGTCTCTTCATTCTCTGGGAAGTCTTGGTATTTTAACTTTCAGAGTACTAGTCACACAGATAGATGCAACATAGAAATGATAACAATTTTAATTAACTTTATCCAAATGATAGAACAATTAAGGATCTTTGCATGAAAGGCCTTACAGTCCCTCTTTTCCTTGAATAAAAAAAGAGGGCAGTTTGAAGGTTAAGAAATACGTCCAGACTGTTCTCAGCAGCATAACGGTACCAATACAGTTGTTTAGGGGTACAAGAGGGTCCTTAAAATGGCATAGAGGCAAATAAGAAACAGGTTCTTAAGGCATCATTTTAAAAAGGAAGCCTATGTCCTCAACTCAGTCCAGCAGGTTGCAAGAACTTATGCAACTGAAAGTGGGTGAACTTTGGTTTTCATTGGTCAACTGTGGAGACCAGAAAACGACTGAACAGGACTAGCCACCTAACATTCTTCCCAGAGGCCTTTTTGTCTTCATCTGTTGGTATGACAACGCAAAAACATTTTAGACTGACATACAGGCTGAGAATTTTCAATCGTAAATTAGTCTGATCTTCCAACATATATCCTCACTAGTTTACAAAACAGATCATGTGTTTGGTATGATTTAAGAGCTTAGTGTAGCTGTTCTCCAATCCAAACATCATATCTCCCTAAAATGGTACTTATAACTTGTTCTGCAAAGACAGTACCTATGTATAAACACCTAAACTTCTTTGGCAATCCTTTATAGTCGAGGGTGATTGTCTTGCATGATTGTCTTATCTGTGGGTCTGAAGATGGCTGACGAGGCTGATCCAGGATTGACAGACTGCTGCAACTCAGGCACGTGTTTCTGTGGGTGGGTGGCACCTAAACTTAAACATAGATTGATTCCTCCATCTGCCAACTACATTTAAAAAAAAAATCCTGAAACCGAATGCTAAAAACCTTCTTAAGTTTTTACTTCCCATTATGAAAGAAATATTTATGCTCAGAAAGAATAAAGGTAAGCAACTGTAAAAGAGATTTCTGCAGAAGACTGATACAGAAACAAGCAGACATTTTCCCTTAATCTATAAAAGAATAAATGTTGGGATCTTTTAACATTTTGCAGAAGAGAGGGCAGAAATTCTTCTGTTCAAATGTGACCTGCATCATGAGGACAAGGGAATTTAGACCATCCATTGGCAGCTTAGTGATGGGAACCTGCTCAAAGGCAATTCAAAAACTGGCAGCACACTTTTTATTACCTGCCAATGATTTGAATGCTGAGAAGATTATTGCCCATAGCTTTATCTCAGACCCTTTATCTGTTACATTTTAAATATATGTTTAGCTCTAAAACACCAAGAAGTTCATATTTTTGTTTACAATTGATCAGTGAATCTACTTATGTCAGAAACAGTAGCAATCCAAAATCATACACTGAAAAGTATAAATAAAATCCAACGTGAAACTTTCAGACCATGAGTGAATTCCATTTTTAACAGAGACTATTACTTAAAAGTAATTTATAAATTTGTAAAAATAAATTCTCTGATTTCACCTGATTGCCTATGGTGCTCTACAATGGCTATTTTCAGAATTAATAATTTATCATATAAGTGTCTATTAGGAAGCTGTGCAATGGTTTCCAGACAATTTATAAGGTTATTTTTTTAAATAAAAGATTATTGCTGTCCTTAAAGTATATTTTCATGCGTGGATCCTATGTGAAGAATATTAAGTATAAACTGCTGAAGGGCAGGGAAACCTCTGTTAAGTAGCTGCTTGACTTTCTGGTTCAGTTTACTTGGCACAGTGGCAAAAAGGCAGCCTTTAAGAATGGGAAAACCCACATTCCAGTGTCATAAAACCATGATTTTGTGAACTCCCTCGTTAACAAGTATCTGGCAGCCTCCAGAAGTATCTCCTTGACATGCTCCCCAATCAATTTGTCATTAATTTGTGCAGCACTTGGAATGTTTCATGTTCAATATTTATTTCCTACATTGGTAATATTTAGAAATGGGTACAATACCTTTGGATCTCTAAGAAAGAGTGCTCTTAGGATGAGTGAATGTACATCTCCAATTGGTGGATAATGCATCAGAAGTCCCAAACAGGTCTGATAGTTACTTGAGATCACTAGAAAATAAAAAAGAAGTGGTGGTAATGAGGAAAATATATGTATATACACATTATTTGGGTCTTCTAAGGAGGTTTTTTTTGTTTGTTTTTTTTTTGTTTTTTGTTTTTGTTTTTTGTTTTTTTTACAGATGCATCACAGCTCAGCTTCAGCAGCTGTTCTTCACAATAAGTAAAAACTGTGCCTTTCAAATCTAGCATTCCTCAACATACAAGCAAAAGGCTGCATTGTGTTGTACAGATTTTATCCTGGGCTGGCATCAACACTAAAGATTCCATTGACTTCAATAGGCAGCTTCAGCTACTTCTTTTTAAGTGGGGTTTGCACCTTTTCCTTACTAATTTCTCCAGAAATACCATGTATGTTTTTCATAATTCTGTTATTAAACAGCTTTCAATACTTTCTTATATTCTTTTGACCTTGTGAGGTCCCTTCCAGCCCTACTCTCCTATGACCCTCTGATAAACTATGATTCTTAAGAAATGATTTTGTGTAAGGCCTCAGAAACATTAGTTTATGAAATACTTTGGTCTCCATCTTTACCTGCCTAAGAACCCTAAAGAAAATCCTGAAATCATTATGCATTTTTGTTTTTATACTTTTTATTTTCAAATTCTTTTAAAACTATAGCACATCATTAACTTTCATCCTAGAATTTTGTCACTCGCTCAGGAGATTTAGTTTTGCTCTGTCTGAAGTTTGTCTCCTGTTATAAACATATTGTGTTAGGTTTCCATCCCAACCCAGGAATATTGTATGGTTCTTTGCTTGTCAGGGTTTTTTTTTTTTTAAATCAATCTAATTATGAGTGCAATTATTATACACATCTTTTCAGGCAGGTCTATGTAAACTACTTCATTTCTTTTGCACCATCTAAATCCAGGCAATCCATCTGCCACAGCTGTCAAAGCAGTGCCTATTAATGATGCTTATACTGTGCAATATACAGACTGCCTCCAACAATACCAATTGTAAATAAATTGTAAAGAAACTTTACAGTTTTCAGAACTTTAGCTGTAACAACAATATCCTTTTTATTAATCAGAATCCTAAGTGGGGAAAATATTCCTGCGGAACACACAAAAATCCCTCTGATCCAATAAAAAGACAAAATAAACTACTGTTATATGGCAAGGGAGACTCAGTAGTCTAATTTTTTTCTTTAATGCGAGTAAACCTCATCTCCTCCTGCACCTCTCCCCTCCCCCCTCCCAAAAGGATTATGGGGAAAAGATGCAGGACTGGGCAAAATGAATAATTATAATCTGTGCAGGGAACCACTTTATCATCTTCATTTCCGTTGCTGATCCGACAGCTTGTAATTTCATACATCTGCTTTCATTTGTAAAGCACTCACTTATCCTACTCATTCTTTATCTGTTCTGCCTGTTCTTTTTCTATCCTTTTGTTTTTCTTGTTCATACTCAGATACCTGTTTTTCTTCCTTGAAGTCACAAAGCTAGTATAATGAACACAATACAATGGTCTCAGTCGGAGTTCTTTCAGATGAATATAATACAAGTACTACATGTTATATAACCGATGAAATTCTCATCTTCAAATTTAACACACTGTACAGCACTTACAGTTAGGACACATTTTATTTTATTAAAGCAAATAAAAATACTGAAAATGGATAGTAAATTCAAAATAATTTTATAAGCTATGGATATTTATAATAAGTAGTTCCTGTCTCAATATGATAATGTCTTCTATTTTGTAATTGAAAACGGATTTAAAAAGTTTGTCAGAGCTTGGTGAGGGGTGTTTTTTTTTTTTTTTGATACTGAAGAATGAATGTTAAAAAAAACTAATTTATTTCTATAATAAAGACTCAACAGTTAACAAAATTGATATTTCTAAATATAACAGAATTCACAGCCATCTTTAGATTTTATCAAGGGTGTTTCAGGGAAACAGCTAAACAAACTGGACCCCCCCAACTCCATTGCTACATGAGCAAAAAGCAAACAATTCTCCCACCCTGACACTCCCAAAAACACCCCCCCCCCC